GTGCTGACGTCAACTCAAACTAAGTTTTATGGCATAGAATTTCTACTGGAAGTGGAATGGGGGATCATTAATGATCATTTGAATGTGAATTCGTTTTTAAGCTTTATATAATTGCTTTGGAGGGGAACATATATACATAAAATGTTCAAAATCAATACAACTAAGTAGTATACTGGACAGATAAGTCTTTCCTTTAAATCCTATTGGGTTTCCATTTCCGCAAAAACTTGGTAAGAACAAATGACACTTTCGGAACTTCTACATATTATCTCATTACCAGTAGGCAAGAAGTAGTGACCTTCTACATTACCAGCGAGATAAAAAATAAGTCATTCCTCTAAACTTTACCAGGCAAAGTAACTTTCTTTTATTTTACCTGGTAATTAAAAAGCGACGCACGCAGACTACAATATAAAAAGACACTGGTGCGAACCTTCGCAACAGCAAACATTAACCAGCAAGGAAAAGTAAAAATTCGGGCGGGCCGACTATATGGTACCCTACACCACCATTTATATTTAATAGAGCTCCGGTAACAAAAGAATTTATGTTGGGAATTTATATGAAGTAGATCATTCCAACTTTTCGACTTATTTGAATGAGTATCTTGGCTTTAGAGCAGTTATAATTTGCTTTCAGAGGGAATAACTCCACCAAATGGAAACGTACGTCGCAAAATTCGCTCCATTTGGGCTAATATTAGCCATTGGATATAAAATAAACCTGAAATCGGAAAAAGATATATATGGGAGCTAAATCTAAATCCGATCCGATCTCGATAAAATTTAGCAGATCTATTTCTAAATTCTGTAAGATAACTGGTATAAAATATCATTGTTGTGGAGTGCGTATTACGAATGAGAGGGACTTAAAAACCAAATCGGTTGAAACATTTATACGGGAGCTATATCTGAACCGATTTTCACTAAATTTGAAGTACGTGCTTTTAGGCTGGATTCGGTCGTACGTGCCTAAATTTACTCCATTCGGTACACTATAAACCTGAAATCGGATAAAGATAAATTTTGGTAGAGGTATTGATGACCTACATTTGATATATTTCTCTCAATATCGTTGTTACGGCTGTGGAGGAGAAATTTAACAAATCGGATGAAGAATATATGTTGGAGCTATAGCTATATCTGAACCGATTTTCACCAAATTCGACACTTTAGATTATTTGACAATCAGGCTATATGTGTCAAATTCCGCCCTATTTGGGCAAATATTAGACTTTTAGCACAATAACAGGTACATCGGGCGAATATATATGTTGGAGCTATATCTAAATTTTGGCCGATTATCTCCACTTTCAATAGGGTTTGTCCTAAGGCCAAACAAATGTTTTGTGCAAAGTTTCATCTTGATCGGACAATTAATTCGACCTGTACTTTGTTTACAAAAATACATGGACAGACGGACGGACGGACGGACATGCATAATTCGACTCAGAATCTGATTCTATGCAGATCATCAAAAGGAACTTTATGTTACAAACAAATGCACATAGATATAATACCCTGACCACTGTGTGGTGTAGAGTATAAACAGGTAAAAAACATTAAAACACTTTAAAACCCTCCACCTTTGGGTAAAGAAAACATTTTTATATAAAAGTATCTGAAATCAAACTTTAAACTACAAATACCAGTAAGGCCATGACGTGGGTGAGGCCGTTGTATGGGGGCAATACCAATATGAAAACCTCTATAGAAAATTTTATACTTCGATGATTGTCATCTACCAAATCTTCTACAATACCAAATTGGAAACAATTTCGTTGGTAAACCTGACTAGGATTGTCAAAATATCGAATATCGGTGGATATCGTTATATGTGCGCTATAGGAAAACGTCGACCTAAATATTCATTGTCGTGCAGCTGGAGGTAGAACCCATTATGAACTATAGATACCAAATTTTTATACAAATCCGCGGAGGCACAATCATGTGGAGGCTATTCGAAAACGTGAACCTATATATACTATGTTCTGCCACAGGAGCTAAAACCCATTACGAACTACAAATACCAATTTTTAGACAAATCCGTGGAAAAAAGTGGCAAAATCATCAAAATACCGAATATCGGAATGTACTATTATATGGGGCTACAAAAATGTGGACCGAAAAAATATGCGAACAGGTTGGCGACGCACATATTGTGGCCAACGCTTTAATGCACTTATAAGCTGATTATTTTGAAAAATTACCAAGAAAAAATTCCGTCGAAAATATCGCTCGAGGGAAACACGTTGTATGTGGGATATACGAAGACGTAAACCTACAATTTTCCGTCGTAATCTCTAGTACCCAATTCTTTTCCTGGATGTAAAGTACTAAGAAAGAACTCCTTGTGTGGATTTTCAGACAATTCCACTGAAAAATGTAGCTAACACCTATGAAAATGCCGAATACCGGGAGGTACCGTTGTATGGAGGCTATACGATAACGTTGACCTATATAGACAATTCTTTTCCAGGAGTAAAGTGCTCTGAAGGAATTCCTTGTGTTATTTTCCAGACAATTTCATTGAAAAATTTGGCTAAAATCATCACAATATCGAATATCGGGTGGTACCGTTATATGGGGCCTATACGATATCGTGGACCGATATAGCCCATCTTCGAATTTGACCTACCTGCACACAAAAGACTGATCTGTACAAAACATTAGATTCCTTCGTCTTCGATTGTCAATAGAAGATCTGGAGTTTTCCGACTGTCTATAGAAGACCTGGAGATCTTCGACTGCCTATAGAGGACCTGAAGGTTTTCGATCGCTTAGAGAAGACTGGGAGGACTTCGATCGCCTATAAAAGTTCTAGAGGTCTTCAACTGTCTAAAAAAAACTTGGAGGTCTTCGACTGTCTTTAGAAAATCTGGTGGTCTCCTATTTTTATAGAAGACTTGGAGGTCCGCTACTTTCTATAGAAGACCTGGAGGTCTCCTACTATCTATAGAACACCTGGAGGTATTCTAATGTCTCTAGAAGGTCAGGAGGTTTTCGACTCTCAATAGAACACCTGGGCGTCTACGACTGTCAATAAAATACTTGGAGGTCTTCGATTGTCAATAGGAAACCTAGAGGTCTTCGATTGTCAATAGGAAACCTAGAGGTCTTCGATTGTCAATCGGAAACCTAGAGGTCTTGACTGTCGAAAGAAGAAATGTAGATCTTCTAATTTCTATAAAAAACCTAGAAGTCTTCGATTGTTATTAGAAGACCTTAAAGTCATTGACTATCTGTAGTTGGACAGGACTAAATCGTTTTAGAATTTTATGCTGATCAAGAATATATGTACTTTGTTAGGTCTAGAATTATTATTTCGATAAGTTACGAACGGAGTGACGAACTTAATCTCCCATTGTCAATAAGTCTATTTATAGCCTCCACCATACATATGATGGAGGGTATATGAAGGATGGAGAGTATAAAAAGACTTTTAATAAGAATGGAAGAACAAGGAATCTTCTATCGTGTATAGAAGATATTGTTTTCTTTAGAACACCCAGAGGTCTTCCATTGTCTGTGGACTCCCTGAAAATCTTTTACTGTATATTGAATTGAAGAGAGGATTTTTTCTTCACCGTAGAAGATCTTGAGGTCTACTATGTCAATAAAATACCTCCAGATCTCCTATTGTAGAAGGAATTTCTGGAGTTTTTTTTTTGCCGAAGGAAGATCTAAATTTACTTAACTGTTGTAAAACGATCTAGAGGTCTTCTACTGTCCAATGCGGACCTAGAGATCTTCGATAGACCATATATACGAAGTTATTCTCTCGAAAACTTATAATCGCTTTAGTTACCCGTTTTGCTGATTTTATAATAAAATCATTCTTCCCCTATATTTATACCCTACACCACAAGGTGGTCAGGGTATTATGTCTTTGTGCATTTGTTTGTAACAGGCAAAAGGAAACGAGATAGACCCATAGTTCCTTTTGATGATCTGCATAGAATCACATTCTGAGTAGATTTTTGCATGTCCGTCCGTATGTCCCTCAGTGTGTCAATGTATTTTTGTAAACAATGTACTGTTCGCATTTATTATATAAAATTTTGCACAAATCATTTGTTTGGCCCAAGGACGAACCCTATTGAAATTGGAGATAATCGGTCAACATTTAGATATAGCTCCCATATATATCTTCGTCCGATTTGCTTTTTATTGTGCACCAAACGTGTAATATCAGCGCGAATAGTATGGAATTTTGCACATGCAACCAAATTAGGCCTGAAAATAAGTATGCCAAATTTGATCGAAATCGGTTCAGATATAGCTATAGCTCCCATATATATTATTCATCCGATTTGTTATTTTTGTCCTCCGCAGCCATAATATGCACTCTGTAGCAACAATATTTGGGGAAATATATCAAATATAGCTTAGAAATACATTTGCTAAATTTTATCGAGATCGGTTCAGATATATAGCTATAGCTAACTTCGTCCGATTTACCTTTGATTGTGCACCAAACGTCTAATATTTGTCCAAATGGGATGGAATTTGGCACTTACGACCGAATTGAGTCTAGAAGCTAGTATGTCAAATTTGGTGAAGATCGGTTCAGATATAGCTATAGCTCCCATATATACTGTTCATCCGATTTGTTATATTTGTTACCCACAGCTGTAATATGCACTCCGTAACAACGATATTCAGGGAAATATATCAAATACAGCTCAGACATATCTTTGCCAAAATATATCTTTATCCGATTTCAAATTAATTGTGTACCAAATGGGCAATCCAAGTCCGTATTTAAAAGATGCAAATGCTTCGGCATATTCAGTCCCTTGAATTTTAAATTATAATTATAATCATAGCGTGTATGATTGAATTCTCCCATAAAAACTTTTAATTGCTATGCGCAGCTCTACTAAATTAGCAAAGTGGTGTAGGGTATCATAAATTCGGCCCCGCCCGACTTTAAGACTTTCTTTACTGGTTTTGAATATAATTTTAACTTTTGTTTTAAATTATGGAAACTTTACTCACCTTAGTAGCAATTTGAGAAAACAACCAAATCCACGGCATGTAGCAACTTCGCCGGTGTAGGTAACTGTCATTTTTGTAGCTTGGAATTTAAGTTAATATAGCTTCTATATTGTGTAAAAATTGTGTATTCTATATAAATAACTTGTATATACCCTGTATATACATATGTATGTAATTAGGTAGCACTTTTGTGGATTTTTTATTGTAGTTGTAAATGTTTTTCTCTTTTCTGTTTCTTTTTTTTTTTAATCACATAACAACACAACAGATTCAAAGGTATCTGAACTTTTTTGCTTCAATTTTTCTTTTTGATTTATTCACTATTATTATTTATTATTATTTTAACTTTTTTCTTTGTAATTGAGACAGTAATTATTACAATGACTGGAAATAATTGCGAGTATTTCTGTTGGCAGCAGCGGCAGCAGCAGTGTGATTTTATTTCTTAAATATCTATCTTTCAAACATTCTGTTCTCTCAGGCATCTAATCGCTGTCTTTTTTTGTCATCGATCGTTGTACCTTATCTAGATGTGAACATTTTCATTTAGTTACTGACATTTGTTTTCAGTTTTTGTTTTTTTATCACTTCATTTGTACGGGAAATAGGAATCTGTTTTTATTTTTTGTAGACACTGTAAAGACAAGAGCAGAAAAATAGAGACGTGAAATCAATAACAATTCAGCTGGAAGTATTTTCTTCTAAAAATATGTCTAACTTGAAAATAATGGAAATAAATTACAAATGGCCATAAATCTTCTTAAAGAGACGACAGAAGCAGCACCACACAACAATAGTAACTAACAATGAGAGCGTTTGACCTTGGTTTGCTGATAAACGAGTATTGGTATGGGGAGCGTTTAAACACGAGCGGAAGATGTTTTATGGTGTTGAAATAAATTTTGAGTTTAGTATAACAGTTGTACTTCTAGTAGACAATGATGCTACTAAACTATGATACATTTTTAGGCAGATTACAAAAAAGAAAAAGGGAACTTGAAATCCAAAAGTCCGTTGTCGAGCAACGCCTATTGTAAAGGTATACATCTTTAATAGAAGATAGAAGACCTGGATGTCTTATACTGTCTGTAGAAGACTTAAAGATCTTTGACCGCATATAGAAGACCCAGAGGTCTTCTACTGTCTATAGAAAACCTGGAGGTTTTCGATAGTAAGTTGAAGACCTGGAGGTCTTCGACAGTCTTTTGAAGACCTGAAAGCCTTTGACTATCAATAAAAGACCTGGAGGTCTTCGGCTGTTAATAGAAGAGCTAGAGACCTTCGACCGCCTATAAAAGTCTCTGACTGTCTATGGAAGACGTGGAGGTCTTCTACTGTCTATAGAAGACGTGGAGGTCTTCTACTGTCTATAGAAGACCTGGAGGTCTTCTACTGTCTATAGAAGACCTGTCTATAGTAGACCTGGAGGTCTTCCACTGTCTATAAAAGACCTGGAGGTCTTCTACTGTCTATAGAAGACCTGGAGGTCTTCTACTGTCTATAGAAGACCTGGGGGTCTTCTACTGTCTATAGAAGACCTGGAGGTCTTCTACTGTCTATAGAAGATCTGGAAGTCTTCTACTGTCTATAAAAGTCTCTGACTGTCTATAGAAGACCTGGGGGTCTTCTACTGCCTATAGAAGACCTGTCTATAGCAGACCTGGAGGTCTTCTACTGTCTATAGAAGACCTGGGGGTCTTCTACTGTCTATAGAAGACTTGGAGGTCTTCTACTGTCTATAGAAGACCTGGAGGTCTTCTACTGTCTATAGAAGATCTGGAAGTCTTCTACTGTCTATAAAAGTCTCTGACTGTCTATAGAAGACCTGGAGGTCTTCTACTGTCTATAAAAGACCTGAAGGTCTTCTACTGTCTATAAAAGACCTGGAGGTCTTCTACTGTCTATAGTAGACCTGGAGGTCTTCTACTGTCTATAGAAGACCTGGAGGTCTTCTACTGTCTAAAGAAGACCTGGAGGTCTTCTACTGTCTATAGAAGACCTGGAGGTGTTCTACTGTCTATAGAAGACCTGGTGGTGTTCTACTGCCTATAGAAGACCTGGAGGTCTTCTACTGTCTACAGTAGACCTGGAGGTCTTCTACTGTCTATAGTAGACCTGGAGGTCTTCTACTGTCTATAGAAGACCTGGAGGTCTTCTACTGTCTATAGAAGACCTGGAGGTCTTCTACTGTCTACAGAAGACATGGAGGTATTTTAATGTCTATAGAAGACCTGGAGGCCTACTACTGTCTATAAAAACCTAGAGGTCTTCTACTGTCTATAGAAGACCTGGAGGTGTTCTACTGTCTATAGAAGACCTGGAGGTGTTCTACTGTCTATAGAAGACCTGGAGGTCTTCTACTGTCTACAGTAGACCTGGAGGTCTTCTACTGTCTATAGTAGACCTGGAGGTCTTCTACTGTCTATAGAAGACCTGGAGGTCTTCTACTGTCTATAGAAGACCTGGAGGTCTTCTACTGTCTACAGAAGACATGGAGGTATCTTAATGTCTATAGAAGACCTGGAAGCCTACTTCTGTCTATAAAAACCTAGAGGTCTTCTACTGTCTATAGAAGACCTGAAGGTCTCCTACTGTCTGTAGAAGACCTGAAGGTCTCCTACTGTCTGTAGAAGACCTGGAGGTCTTCAACTGTCAATAGAAGACCTGGAGGTCTTCTACTGTCTATAGAAGACCTGGAGGTCTTCTACTTTCTATAAAAACCCGGAGGTCTTCTACTGTCTATAGAAGGTCTGGAGATGAAGATCGACTCTCAAGAGAAAACCTGGACGTTTACGATTGTCGATAGAAGCCCTGGAGGTCTTCGACTGTCAATAGAAAACCTAGAGGTCTTGACTGTCGAAAAAAGAAATGGAGATCTTCTATTGTCTATAAAAGACCTAGAAGTCTTCGATTGTCAATAGAAGACCTCAATGTCTTTAAATATCTGTAGAAAAACTAGATGTCTGGACGTCTTCTCCGGTTTGTAGAGGACCTCCAAGTCTTATATATTTCTATAGAAGATCTAAGCGTCTTCTTTTTGGAAATCCATTTTGTATTTAACTCCAAAGTTTATTGACACGCCGGTCAATAATAAAAACAAAACTTCGCAAATGTTCATGACTATTATTTTCTTCGCCTCTCAATTCTCACCTTTCAATTCCAAACAAATCAAAAAAAATGTGCGCTTAATTCAACAGTTAGCTCGTCATTTGCCAACTATTTTCGGTGTGTTGTTTTCATATCGAATGGTCAGCGTCATTCGGAATTTATTTCCCCCCCAAAAATAATATGGACGATAATGACGTAATTTTATGACCGAAACAAAGTTACCTTAGCAGCGGCTCAGCAGATATGCCAGCTAAATTACCAACTAGCTAGCTAGATTGTTGTGCTATGTTGTTTGGGTTTTTTTTTGCTCTACGTTTAGGAAGCCAATGACCTTTTTTCTACGCATTCATGTGCGAGCGTAGCCAAAAGCTTAATAATAGAATTGCTAATACAACTAGACGTCGATACGCCGAATATTCGTCTATATTGCCGGCAAACATGAATAAGTTCAAGCGGTCATTTCGTTCAGTAATTGTCAACGAATATCGAATTGATTGAGAGTAGAGAAGTTGGGTTTTCGATAACAACATTTACATTCATTGGGAGTTAATATTTCTATGTCACAATGTATTTGATGAGGCCAAGAGATAACGGAAATGCACACATCATTTATAATACGTTTATGATTTATTTTTACTAAATTATCGTTTTTTGACCTTTCGGAAAGTTTAATGAAGAGAGATTTCCCAAATGAACAGAATAATTTTACCAGGAATTTTATAGACAAACGAAGATTTCAAGTTATCCTACAGCCAACAGAGAACTTGCAGGTCTTGTTCAGACAATAGAAAACATCTAGCTCTTCCACAGACCATAGAAAACCTCTAGATCCTCTAGGCTTTTTACTGCCCATAGAAGAGCTGGAGTTCTTCTATTGCTTATAGAAGAGCTGCAGGTTTTCTATAACCTTTAGAAGAGCTGAAAGTCTTCTACTGTCTTTTGAAGAGCTGGAGGTCTTCTATTGTTCGTCGAAAAACTGGGGGTCTTCTATTGCCCATAGAAGAGCTGGAGGTCCTCTATTGACCCATAGAAGAGCTGTAGGTCTTCCATTGTCCATAGAAGAGCTGGAGGTTTTCTATTGCCGCATAGAAGAGCTGGAGGTCTTCTATTGCCGCATAGAAGAGCTGGAGGTCTTCTATTGCCGCATAGAAGAGCTGGAGGTCTTCTATTGCCGCATAGAAGAGCTGGAGGTCTTCTATTGCCGCATAGAAGAGCTGGAGGTCTTCTATTGCCGCATAGAAGAGCTGGAGGTCTTCTATTGTCGCATAGAAGAGCTGGAGGTCTTCTACTGCCGCATAGAAGAGCTGGAGGTCTTCTATTGCCGCATAGAAGAGCTGGAGGTCTTCTATAGGCGCATAGAAGAGCTATAGATCTTCTATTGCCCATAGAAGAGCTATAGATCTTCTATTGCCCATAGAAGAGCTCTAGGTCTTCTATTGGCCATAGAAGACCTCTAGGTCTTCTATTGCCTTTAGAGACCTGTAGGTCTTCTATTGCCTTTAGAAGACCTGTAGGTCTTCTATTGCCTTTAGAAGACCTGTAGGTCTTCTATTGCCTTTAGAAGACCTGTAGGTCTTCTATTGCCTTTAGAAGACCTGTAGGTCTTCTATTGCCTATAGAAGACCTGTAGGTCTTCTATTGCCTTTAGAAGACCTGTAGGTCTTCTATTGCCTTTAGAAAACCTGTAGGTCTTCTATTGAATTTAGAAGACCTGTAGGTCTTCTATTGAATTTAGAAGACCTGTAGGTCTTCTATTGCCTTTAGTAGACCTGTAGGTCTTCTATTGCCTTTAGTAGACCTGTAGGTCTTCTATTGCCTTTAGAGACCTGTAGGTCTTCTATTGCCTTTAGAAGACCTGTAGGTCTTCTATTGCCTTTTGAAGACCTGTAGGTCTTCTATTGCCTTTAGAAGACCTGTAGGTCTTCTATTGAATTTAGAAGACCTGTAGGTCTTCTATTGAATTTAGAAGACCTGTAGGTCTTCTATTGCCTTTAGTAGACCTGTAGGTCTTCTATTGCCTTTAGTAGACCTGTAGGTCTTCTATTGCCTTTAGTAGACCTGTAGGTCTTCTATTGCCTTTA